CTGAAGACGAGTGCTTGTGTTGCGATCGAAACGCCGTGACCGATTATTTTTTATTTACGTGACTTGACCGAAAGACCCAAAGAGTAATAATTATCTGTGTAACAAAATAAAAAAAAAACGTTGTTCCTGGGTAGTACGTGTTATTTTCTAATTGCTTATGCCTCAAAAGTACAGAAAATGGCTGTTTATTATTCCCCACGCGACGATGAACAACGTCGTGTGAGTGTGCGTCACCTCTCCCTCAGCAGGAGGGGGGGGCATCGGAAAGCCGTGGCCCCGCGTCTGTACGACGGCGGAGCGTCAACACGGAGGGTTCACGGACACCGGTGAACCCGCTGTCTGTCTGCGACGAGCCGAGCCCCGGGCAACCGCACACCCCCCCCCCCTCGACCGCACGGCGACGGGGGGTGATTGTGTGGCCAGAGCGGGAGGGCCAGGGGGGGCGGTGGCCGGGGTGACGATTCGTCGTCTCACCAACTCGTTCATCTCTTCTCTCAAGGCTCGCCCGGTCGCACGTGTCGCGGGGACGGATCGACCCGTTGCTGCCGCACGGCTGCGCCGGGGATGTTGCACGCGTCGTTGAATTTGGACAAAAGTGGGCGAAGGCGCGGCGAGATGCATGCAGCAACAAAACACAACGCGAGCGACACTGTGACACCGCCACGAGACTGTCGGAGATATTAAATAAACTCGGAAGTACAAACGAGACGGTAAAAGTGTGACGACATGTTCTAACACAATGGGCGAAATTGACTTACACAGGTTCTCGTCGCTGGTACATTAGCTGCAACATAAAAAAAAATCAATCCATTTTTTTCCCCTAACCGCTCACTCACCCACCCAGAGGACACAACCCACAACATCGCTCCTTCCGGCCGAGCGTTCTCTCGCCTGTCACCGTCGCATATGCAACGGGTTCAATGTAAAAAAAATATATATCTGTACGTTGAACTTCTTTCTCGCCGTACGTAGCCAACCGTGCCAATCGGAGGTGCGGGGGATGAATGGGAAACAAAACTGAACACAAAAACGCATTTCCAGAGGAAGGTAATTGTATCCTCAAATCAGATCGAGATGTTGAACTGTGAGCATTGAACCGACTTGCCAGAGGAGAGGTGAAGCCGTTACACCCCCACCCCCTACCCCCCTCCACCCCCCTACCCCCCCTACCCCCCTACACCCCTCGTCCACCTCCCTCCACCCCCTCCACCCCTCTCCACCCCACCTCCTCCACCCCCTCCACCCCCTCCACCCCTCTCCACCCCCTCCACCCCTCTCCACCCCACCTCCACCACCCCTCCACCCCACCTCCACCACCCCTCCACCCCCTCCACCCCACCTCCACCACCCCTCCACCCCACCTCCACCACCCCTCCACCCCACCTCCTCCACCCCCTCCACCCCCTCCACCCCACCTCCACCACCCCTCCACCCCCTCCACCCCACCTCCACCACCCCTCCACCCCACCTCCACCACCCCTCCACCCCCTCCACCACCCCTCCACCCCCCTCCACCCCACCTCCTCCACCCCCCTACCCCCCTACCCCCCTACACCCCTCCACCCCCCTACCCCCCTCCACCCCCTACCCCCTCCACCCCTCGTCCACCTCCCTCCACCCCCTCCACCCCTCTCCACCCCACCTCCACCACCCCTCCACCACCCTCCACCACCCCTCCACCCCACCTCCTCCACCCCCTCCACTCCCTCCACCTCCCCTTCCACCTCCCTCCACCCCCTCCACCCCTCTCCACCCCCTCCACCCCACCTCCACCCCACCTCCACCCCACCTCCTCCACCCCCTCCACCTCCCCTTTCCACCTCCCTCCACCCCCCCCAGCGAACAGCGCGCGTGTCACGTGTCACGTCCAGGGGCGCAGCGCCCGATTTAAACAATGTGGTGGTGGTGGTGGCTATGCAAGGTCTCACTTTCTCTCGACTCCCTTTCACTGAAATAGCTACGGATGTTGTGTTTTTTTTTAACCCCGTATGCAATAATATGTAGGCGATGTATTATTGTTCATGGTACCCTGGTACCGGTTTGTTTTGGGTTAGATCGCGTAAATGTAAATGTGACGTTAAACCCGCCACGACACGACACAGACAATTAGTAAGGTTTGTCACGTAAACAGAACGTGACAATTTTCGTGACGAACCTTACGAATTGGCTGCGTCGGGTGGTGGTGGGTTTTAACGACACATTTATATATTTACGCGATCTAACCCCCCCCCAAAAAAACTGTATTATGGTTAATATTGGTCGCGAAAACCTACGTGTTAAGCTAAATATTATTTTAGTCGCACCGTGTATATTGGATTTAGAGGAAGACTCACAGTGACAGTTATTAATAATAAAAAAAATATATGGAATGGAAAGAATACTCACAATGAGTTAATCGTGCGACTTGCTGCTGCTGCTGTTGCTCTCTTGATGCGATAGCCACAGATGGCGTTAATCACCGGGCTTGGTCCATGGCAGACCGCAGGTAATTTTGTGATTAATAAAAAAAAACGTCTTGACAATTTGTGTGGCTTCTTTATCCGTTGGTTCGGGGGCCCCTTGCGGCCGACTGGGCCCTATGTGCGTCGCCACACAACGCTGCCACCCCCCCGCCGCCCCTCTATAGCTGCGCCTCAGGTCGCGCCGCTTCGACCGTGACACTGCCAGAAGAAAAACAACTTGTGGGGGGGGGGGGGGGGGCTCGCCTCGACTCCTTACGTGGCCCCCCGCCTCCACCCAACTCCCTCCGCAACCTTCGGCCCGGTCTCCAACCCCGTCCCCTGGCCTCGCCGGCAAGGACAAGCACCCTCCCGAGAGAGTCCGTCTCCCCGGCGACCAAGCCGGCGACCGCCCTCGGCCTGGGCTCGTTGCCGAGAGGCTGCGGCTCGCGCGTGGAGCCTGCGGGACTCCGAAGCGAGGGCCCGAAATAAACCGGGCAGCGAGAACGCGGTGACGGCAGCGGCCTCGCGGGGCACGGCGCGGCGAGCGATCGAGTCAGCCGCCGACCAGTGCCGGATTATCCTGGCAGCGAAAGTGGCTGCACACGTAGCCACGGGCCCCGCACTTTCAAAGGCCCCGCGCTAAACGCTTGCAAGCTGTCAATTCCGATTCAGTGATTCTGCACTTGCTCTATTAATTTAGTACTATACCGCCTTCAACTTTAATGAACGATGTGTCGTATTATCTGGCTGTGTAGCAAACGAAAATATCATTACTTTACCATGCAAGTAAAAAAAATACGTGTTTTAATATTAACGTGTGTTTTTTTTATTTTATTTAGGGCCCCTTTATAACATCGTATGCTACAAGCCCCGCACTCGCTTCATCCGGCACTGTCGCCCACGTGAACGTGGATATTAAAATGAACGAGCGGCACGTGAAAATGGAGGAGGTCTACGCGCGTGTGATTTTACCTCATGCGGCTGCGGTATAATTAGAGGGGGGGGGGAAGCTTCTTTACAACAACAGATAAATGCCCAGGATCAACTAAATGAGTAATCAGAACGATGGAAGACGAAACGGTGAAAGTTGCTCCAAGCACGGGGCGGAGTTGAACTCGTTTGCCTTCAACCTGCCACAACGCGGAATCATCGGCGCCACTCAATGAGAGGCTTCGACCGCTTTCTCATTTTCTTACCCCTGGGCACGGCGGCTTCTGCGGCCGTGGAAATGACAAGAGGGGAACGCAGCGAGAGAACATTACGGGCTGCTGAATGTATTAATAGGAGGGTCGGTGTCTCAAAACATGTTCACGCGGGCTGCACGATACCTCTGGGATTCAAAGCGGCGTCACTAATTGTCCTGTCAAGGCAGGGGTCTGTGTGCATCATCGATCGGGCAATGAGTGGTGATGGCCACTTTGTGGTTATGAAAATGTTAACTGCCTCGCCCGATATACAGGATGTTGGTTCGATCCCGACCCTGACATCTGTATATTTGGAGTTTGCGCGTCTCTCTCCCCTTGGCAGCATGGATTGTTCTCTGGGCCCTTCTGTTTTTTTCCCCCACATTCACAATCAACATCAGGCGTTTAGAGTATCTGGCTGCTATTAACTTCCACAAGATCAGCTATCATTTGTGATAGGCAGGTCGCTTCTGAAATACAGCTATATATCTCAGCGGGCCTTACCTGTCAAACTCAAATTTAAAAAAAGTTTCAGTTTTTATATCTGAGCTGCAGAATGTGTGGGATTTATGTGCCAGCCAGAAAACGCATCATTGGCGCACGCACTTCGTTGGCGAGCTTGCATGCACGTCATCTCTCCCCCGTCGCAATAATCCGCGCCACTGCGCGCTCAGGATTTCCGCGACACTCTGCCAGCATTTCAATTTGTCATTCCAAAAAAAAAAACTAAAAAAAGTTTCCCCCCACCACTTAAAGGAGCATGGGGTGTGGTGCTCATCACAGAGGGCGGCTCTGAGACAGTGGAAATTCCAAGTTCCTATAGCGGGGATCCGTTTTTTTTATTTTACGTATGACAAACCACTTTTCTCTTCCCCACAAAGTGCTACGCACCTCGAGAGCGCCACAGGCAGGAGTTTAACTTGAAACCGTCTGACTTCAAGTCGAGTGCTTTGTGCCACGCCGCCATTTATCACAATTAAATGACGTTCTGAGATACAGTTATGTCTGCACTAAAATCGACACAATAACTTCGTCGTCGTCAACCATCGCTCATTTAATGTTCTTCCCCAACGAATAAATCGCTGGGAATTGCGTCAGGATTCGGGGGTGAGCAGCGTCGAGCTCGGATAGTGCTTGGATGGGCGACAACCTTGCACAAGAGGTTGATGGGGGGGTTGCCTCGCGTGCAGCGATTCAAAGTCCGCCGTTGTACCGTACATCTACGCTCCCACGTCTGTGCCCCCCCCGCCCCCTCTCCCGCTTTCGCCCAAACCCCCACCGAGCAGCGTGGTGAAGTGCGGTGAAATAACCCGCGCGCGGGGCCACTGTCCGGCCGGCCCCGGGCGCGCGCGGCAGGGGGCGCACCGCGGCTCACCTTTTGGCTTGGCAGTGCCTCTTGTCCGCGGCTCCCCAGCTCTGCGGAAGGAGAGCGAGAGAGGCGCAGCGTGAGCGAGCGGAGCCGCGACGGCGCCCCAGACCACGGCCACGTGTACCGGCGGGGGGGAGGGGGGGGTGGATGCTGTGGTTATGTAAGCCACCACCACCACTGTCACCACCACTACCACTGTCGCTGCCACCACAACCGCCGCTTGCCGCCGTGCAAAAGCACGCGCGCGCACGCGCACGGAGCGACGCGTGCCTTGTGCATCCGCTGTTTAAAACAAAAAGAAAAGTGGAGCGTGCAAAAAGCCAAAAAAAAAAACTAATCTGGAGACGTCAGCCGCCCGGGCCGCGACGGCTCCACCACGCGGCGCGCCTTGAGTTCGTTGCGCGCGTCCCTCCTGTGCAATCGCGCCGCCAGGACCATCACCTGGGGCCAGGGCTGCTCGGACAATAAAATAGACGCTGCCGCATCGGTCCACTGAGGCAGTCCACACGCAGAACCGTGGACAGCTCCTGGTGGCAACCGCGCCGGCGGCGCGCACCATTTGATGCGTGCGTGCGCGATGGCCCTGCGCGCTTGCCTCCGCTCTCTCGTTCCTCGTTCCGTCGCTGGAGTAATCCCACTCGATGTTGTGGACACACGAAATGCACTCTGATATAAGTTGTGGATTTAAAAAGAGAAAAAAAAGTCGTACAACTTTCGTACGCGCGATCATGACGTGTTCGCTCCGTTTCTCATTTGTTTTGAACCGGCTCTTGTTTGTGTTTGGTTTGTTGTCCTTCCCCGGTTGGCTACGTACGGTGCGAAAGAAGTTCAACATACGTACATGCGTGTTACGCGTCACGCCACGGACACCCTTGCACATGAGAAGTTCCATCTCAACGGATGACCTCAGCTAACATATATCAGTAAGTAAAGTAATAGCATCAACAACAATAACAACAACAATGCTGCCGTACTGAGCAGCCCGAGTGCGGTCATAGTTGAGAGAACAAGGCGCGACTCGCTTCTGGCAGACGAGAATTGCGCGCTCGCTCCGTGAGGTCCCTCTGAGAGCCCACCGGGGCGAGCAGGGGGGGGTCGACCACCCCTCGAACGTCGACGGCGTCCGCCCCGCCTCGCCCGGCCGGCGTTGACGCCAAGTGAGGGCATCGTAAGTCAAGACTGGTTTGGGGAAGTTAATTACAAAAATCCATCGGCCGCAGCGTTTCGGCGCGAACAATGAGCGTCCGAGGTTTCCACGGCCACTATAACGATTCGTGATCGATGTCAACGCACGGCTCGCTTTTGCAACAATCACCGCCCTCCCAGCCCGCCCTCCCCTCCGGCTTTGCCGAAAAAGCCAAATCAATCGGCACATTTCCCCCACCTGTCAACTCGGTTTGATTGGCTGTCGGTTGGCGGAGGGCGACGTGTCAACGTTGGCCATTAAACTAACACGACAAACTAATTGTGAATCGCGGCGCTGAGTTAATCGCTCACCCACTCACACCACTCGCTCGCCTCGCGTCTCGAATGTGTGAACCCTCGGAAGCCGGAGTCACACCGCACGTCTCTGCGCGTGCGGTGTTTGTTTTAGGTTACGGCACGACGCGAGAGACTTGCGTCAGCGACATTTGGCCCACGGTGACGAGATGTTAGTTCCCTCGCCTGGTATACAGGAGGTCGTGGGTTCGATCCCGACGCCTGTTGTTTATTTGGAGTTTGCGTGTCTCTCTCTCTCCCCGTGGTGAGATGTTAACTACCTCGCCTGGTATACAGGAGGTCGTGGGTTCGATCCCGACGCCTGTTGTGTATGTGGAGTTTGCGTGTCTCTCTCTCCCCGTGGTGAGATGTTAACTACCTCGCCCGATATGCAGGAGGTCGTGTGTTGGATCCCGACCCCGACGCCTGCTGTATATTTGGAGTTTGTGTCTCTCTCCCCGTGGCCGCGTGGATTTTTCTCTGGTTCCTCTAGACTTTCCCCCCACATTTAGAATCAACATCATGCGTTTAGACTATTTGGCTGCTACTATGAATTTACACACGATAAGCCACTGCGTTGAGCTATCATTTGTGGCCAGGTGGCTTCTGAAAAAGAAGCTAATAGCATAGTGGGCCTTGCCTGGAAAAATACAAATAGGTTCATAGGTTCTGGTGGATGTCAGAAAGTAGTAATCGACTATCACCACGAAAGAGTACGGACATAAAGCACTGGCACTGCTTACTGGCAGAATTATAAGTAGTAGTATTTAATATATATTTGCCATCAGCCATCGTAACGATAATTGTCGCATGCTTGCTTACGTGTTTGTCCTGACTTGTCCTGAGATCCACAACCAATATTCAGCGGTGTACCTGCAGCTCGCGATGTCACACGTATTGCCCACCGCTGCCCTAACCCGTGCAGCCACTCGGCTCTCGCCGGGCGCTCAGAATCAGAATCTGCATTCATAGTGGAGGAATTCGATGAGCTGTGAAGCTCCTTGTCACAGACGTCGCCCCGGTGTGGGTGGTCCCCCCCCCCCAGCCCCTTGTCCTCCGCGCCTCCCATCGCGGTCGATGTCGTCAGGAGCATGAAGCATGCGCGACGAGCACGTTCGGCTGTGAGGCGCGCGCGGCGCAGGGGACCTCGCCCTCAGTGAATGTCACCGCGCGAGGGCTCGGGGGAGGCGGGGGAAGAGTCCCCGGGCGAGGCCGCTGGCTGCTCGCGGGCGCCTGCGGTGTGCGCCGGGTCCCCCCGTACGCAGGGTGCCCCGCGGTGGCGGAGCGCCCCATTAATGAAAAGGTCAAAGGGCGAATGCGAACGTCGCGACCGCGCCGGTGCTGAGTGGACAGCCGTGGACGGCGGCGGTGCAAAGAGCTTCACGAGCAAGGCCGATCGGGGTAGCAGCGCTCTGGAAAGCCAAACAGGTCGACGGACTGCACCGTGTCCATTTGATTGTTTTAGTTTGTTTTAGTATTACACGCTTTTATTTAACTCACTCTGTCTGTTGTTGTTGTTGTTGTCGTCGTTGTATCCTCAAATCTTGCAACTCTAATTTTACCCACTTCCCAATGTGGTATCGACTGTAAACTTGGTATACTTATGTCATACAATACTAAATTCTATCATTAAAAAAATCAACATGATTTTGTATATGATATGTTTCGGCTTGGGTCTAATTGTCCACGGTCAACTGACGTTGGCTGTACATGACCACGGTCCCCTTACGTTGTGGCAAGCTTCGGGCCCACTTCCTGGAGTCGTGGAGTTCTTCCATTACAAGTACATTTCATGAAAGCGTGTTTAAAAAAAAAGTTTTTTTTCATGTATATTTGTATTGTTAACGCGACGATTCAGGTGCACAACACAGATGGGCATGAAAGGAGGTTGACACCAGCACAACCGCACATTACGGATTGCAGTTGCAATGAAAACCTGTCTATACCCGTCTTCTTCCTAAGCTCTGATAGCCCTGGAGGAGAAAAAAAGGGATGGAGGAGAAAGGAGGGGGGTGTCTAAATGCCCTCATGGTTGCTCTTAATATCAATGCCCACCGGAGGAGGGCCGTGTTCATAATTGACGTTTGGAGACGCAGATGTGAGTAGCTGGAGCTCTGCCCGCGTGTTTGTTTTCATGAACACCGAGCGTCTTTCCCGTGGAAAATAAAATAAAAGGTAGCCCTCCGCTCTCTGCAACCTGTGCGTCTCTGGCAGGAAGCACGCTGGTGGCCACGCGCTGTTGCCAGCACCGTTGCCCTTCGCACTGCCTACAGCAGCACTCTTGCCCGCACTGTTGCTAGCACTGTTGCCGGCCCATGACATGCAAGCGGTGGTGTCTACAGAGAGATTCAGCAGAGGCGACGACACTCACGTTCTACCCCACGACGTTCGGAAAGAACAGAGTCTGCGCCGGGTTTTGGCTGCTATGCAAACTTTGCTCACAAAAAAAAAACGTTCCAACTAGTTTAGGTCAGACTACGAATAAAAAATATGGCAAGAGTTTAAGTTTTTTTTTTTATCAACTGAGCATTGAAGCATCGGTGCCTCGATGCCCCAATGAGCAATGCCTCAATGCTCATTTGTGGCATTGGTGCTCATTACCCATTTACAGCCCTGATCCGGTGGTTTAAATTCCACCTTCCTATGGCAGGGACAAGTCTATCCGCAGGACTTGCGCGCACAGTAGTATTAATTGTATCCACCCCCAGAGAGATGATGGGCTGGGTCAACTTCCATCCAGCAGATTCTGATCCAGCAAACCTTCTCTCTCCAACCGCGATCTGAAGACGCGATCTGAACACACGCGTAGACAGAGGCGTAAGAGTTGGTCTGCCTACTAGGAATGAGAGAATGCATCCATTCCTTGGTTAACACCGATTCCTAAGCTCGCGACACACACGTGGCAATTTCGATTGGCACGGTTGGGTACGTACGGTGCGAAAGAAGTTCAACGCACATACATACGTACGTACATGCAACGTGTGTTTTAATAATCGATGTTGTTTCGATTAGTAATCGTCGCTCCAGCAGCCATGCAACGCAATCGTCACCCTGAATCGCGACCATTTACTGCATCACCTCTGCAAGTGAAGCGTCTGTTCTGGACGCCTGCATTGTTCCACGCTGGCGAACACAGTGGGACAACGCAGATGTCCAGAAAAAGACGCTTCACTTGAGAATCGATCGTCACACCTCCTGGCGTTGACATCCTTCGACGGACAACAATGGGCTGATGCGCATGTCTCTCCTTCACGAATTGAATATTAAAGACACGGCATTGGGAGTGTGGCCATGCAACCCACACTGTGGACCATGCAGTGAACCCACAGACACACGAACATTTTACATCGAGACCCATAGAGATACACAGAGGCCCATGAAGACACGTCAATACATCGAGACCCAGAGAGATACACAGACCGACAGAGACCCATAGAGATACACAGACCGACAGAGACCCATAGAGATACACAGACCCACAGAGACCCAGAGAGATACACAGACCCACAGAGACCCAGAGAGATGCACAGAGGCCCATGAAGACACGTAAATACATCGAGACCCAGAG